GAGGGAAGTCATCATCATCATCTAAAGTGAATCCGAGATCGAGGAGGTAGGTGGCGGCGGGATCAGAGTGAGGCAAATCTGGCACACACAAGTTGTAGTTTTTCTAGGCCTCTAAAATCTACACGTCGGTGCTTGCTTTTGGGCCTAATATAGCTGTGTGGGACTGACTGAGAGAGAAATCAAATCATATATGATTTTTTTGCCATTTTTAACTGTGTTTTCTTGTTTCTTTTTTTTTTACCGCTCTTGCTTTGGCCTCTTCTTATGAAAGCTTCTCAAGGACTCAGAGCCTCTGGATCCAGCTGGATACCTCTCAATCATTGAGCGTCTGTCTACCTACTTCAATTTTCAGGTTTCTGGAATCAGTTCGGTATTATTCCGATTTCTTCATTACCGGATCTATGCTAATAATATTCGAACTCTACACAAATTATATAACATCAGCTGGGAAAAAGCCATTTTCAACATCTACTGGGGGTGTTGGTAGAAACTTTGAACACTTTAACTTTGTTTTAAAGTTTTTAAAGTCAAAATTTTGCCAATCAAACTTTTTAAAGCCTTAAAAGTCCTCCTAAAACCACTCACACTCTAATTTCTCATTTTTGTTCTTGATAGTTTATTTTTTAAAAGCCTAAAAAATCAAACTTTTCATTTTTTTTTAATATCACAGTCTAATATTTAAAAGTTAAATTCTCTGCAGCATTCAAAAAAAAAAAAAAGCATACAGTTAAAGTCCCCCCACCAATCAATCCATTCTTTTGAACGTGCTTTTTTACATCCGTTTAGATAAAAACAAGATTGACTGAAACAATGTTAATCAACCGTTACATTTTGTTAAGACTCTTGACACTATCAATAAGATTTGATTTCGTGTACCCAAAACGACGGAAATGACCATTTTCAACATATAATATGAATATAATATAAATTGAGTATTTAAATTTCAAAACTTATGTTAAAAAGGTTTTGAATGTAAATTTGTTTATAAGCCGTATAGATTTTTTGTAATTTTGAATTAGGGTATAAAAGCGTACGACTATATATACCTTTTTAACATATGTTTTGAAATTTAAGTACTCAATCCATATTATTGTATTAATTTCATACTAAATTCATGTTATTGTATTAATTTTAATTAATATATAGTAAAATTTAGTACTTATATATAACTAGATTAAGGAC